CCCCAAAACCCCAAAACCCCAAAACCCCAAAACCCCAACGTTTTGAATTTTATTGAAAATAATAAATAAATTTTATCTTTATGGGTAACTGTGGAAGCGTATGCTGTCCTGGCGATGAGAAGCACGAGGTCTCTAATATGGACTCTCCTAATAAAACACAAGGTAAACATAAGAAGAAGGTAATTACTGCCAAGGGAGCCTCCTCTGCAGCTGGATCTAAGAATCAGAAAGGACAATTTGTTGAGGAATATGAAGTAGCTAGCAAGACCAAACAAACAAAAAGAGAGAAGAGAGACAAACAAATTCTGAGATCGGGTGCTGAGTATACTGGAGAATGGATCGGCAATAAGAGGGATGGTGAAGGAGTCCAAGTTTGGAAAGATGGGTCAAGGTACGAAGGAACTTGGCTCGAAGACCAAGCCCACGGTTATGGCAAACTCTACCATGCCGATGGAGATATCTATGAAGGCGAATGGAAGAATGACAAGGCACATGGTAAAGGAAAATACATCCATTCTAACGGAGCTACTTATGAAGGTGACTGGGAGAATGATAAACAACACGGTTACGGTGTAGAAATCTGGCCTGATGGTGCCAAATACGAAGGTGAGTACGCTCAAGGAAAGAAAGAAGGCAAAGGCAGCCTCTTCTTTGCTGATAACTCCATCTATAAAGGTCAGTTCAAAGATAATGAGATTAACGGAATTGGAAAATACGAATGGACTGATGGAAAAGTTTACAATGGATCCTGGGTAAACAATAAGATGAGTGGTCATGGAAAGCTTGTCTGGAAAGATGGTAAATGCTATGAAGGACAATTTGAAGAAGATAAAAGACATGGAAAAGGCAAATTTGAATGGGCTGATAATAGAGTCTATGACGGAGAATGGAGAGCTGGAAAGCAACACGGAAGAGGAACTTTCGTTGGATCTGATGGAAAGAAGAGAGAAGGTGAATGGATAGATGGGAAACGCGTGAAATGGTTGTAACTAATAAAGACATCTATTTCAAAAAGAAAATAAGATTATGTTTCTATTGAAAATTTTAGTCATGGGGTTTTGGGGTTTTGGGGTTTTGGGGTTTTGGGG